TGGACTCAAGCGTTCCTTCCAAGAAGCTGGAACTACAGGCACACACCACCATGCCCGGCTAATTTTTTTATTTGTTGTAGAGATGAGATCTCGCCAAGTTGCCCAGGCGGGTCTTGAACCCGTGGGCTCAGGCAGTCTTCTCACCTCAGCCTTCCAAAGTGCTGGGATTTTGGCGTGAGCCACTGTGCCCAACCTATTCTTCATTCTTGATAGATAGTTTTGCCAGATATAGACTTTTTGGTTAATGGTATTTTGCTTTCAGCACTTTAATATGTCATGCCACTGTCATTTGGCCTCTATGGCTTCTGATGAGAAATCCGGTATTACTCTTATTAAGGATAGCCGGACCTGGGTGGCTCAACCTGTAATCCCGCGCCTTGGGAGGCTGGATTGCCTGAGCCCGCGGGTTCGAGACCCGCCTGGGCAACTTGGCGAGACCTCATCTCTACAATAAAATTTTAAAAATCAGCGGGGTGTGGTAGCGCGTGCCTGTAATCCCAGCTACTCGGAAGGCTGAGGCGGAAGGATCGCCGGAGCCCAGCAGGTCGAGGCTGCGGTGGCTGGGAGCGGCCGCTGCACTCCAGTCTGGGCGACAGAGTGAGACTCCAACTCAAAAAAAAAAAAAAAAAAAAGGATTCCTTGGATGTGATGAGTTATTTTCCCTTACTACTTTTAAAATTCTCTCTTTGGCTTTGGGTTTTCAGTATTTGCCAACAATGTGTCTCTGTGGGTGTGTCTTTTGAGTTTATCCCACTTGGAGATTCCTGAGCTTGGCAAATGTGCCTATGCATATTTGTCATCAGACTTGCAAAATTGTCAGCCCTTCTTTATTCAGATATTTTTCTTTTTCGTCTCTCTTTTTTCCTCTGGAACTCCTGTGATACAGATGTTGGTGTGTTTGATGACTCCTCTCACTGATTATTGTTTCTCATTCGGTTTTTCAGTTTGCAACCCAGACTAAAAAATTTCAGTGTGTTATCTTGAGGTTTACTTATTCTTTCTTCTGCCTCCTTAGATGATATATATGATATGAACTGAATGGTCGTGTCCCCCACCCAAAATGTATATGCTGAAGTCCAAACCCTGATATTACTGTTTTTGGAGATAGGTCCTTTGTGGAGGTAATTAAGGTGAAATGAGGGCATAAAGGCATTTATCAAATAAGATTAGTACTCTTGCTTGTGCTTGGTAATTCAGTCTGTAATCCCAGCACTTTGGGAGGCCGAGGCAAGTGGATTGCCTGAGTCCGCAGGTTTGAGACCCACCTGGGCAACTTGGGGAGATCTCGTCTCTACAATAAATTAAAAATTAGCTGGGTGTGGTAGCACACGCCTGTAGTTCTGGCTACTTGGAAGGCTGAGGTGGAAGGATTGCTGGAGCCCAGCAGGTCAAGGCCGCGGTGGCCGTGAGCATGCCACTGCACTCCAGTCTGGGCAACAGAGTGAGACTCCAACTCAAAAAAATAAAAATAAAAAAGATTAGTGCTCTTATGCAGAGACACTGGAGATCAATATCTCTCCCTCTTGTTCTCTTTCTCTTTCCCTTTGCAATGTAGAGACTCAACAAGCAAACCAGGGAAAATCTCTCACCAATAATTGATCCTGTTGAAACTTGAGCTGGACCTTTGGCCTCCTGGACTGTGAGAAATAGATTTATATTATTATTACCATTATTCTGGATCAGGCTCTCACTTTGTCACTCACACTGGAGTACAGTGGCATGATCACTGCAGTCTCCCACTTCTGAGTCAAGTGATTCTCCTGCCTCAGCCTCCTGAGTAGATGAACTACAGGTGTGTGCCACCAAACCAAGCTAATTTTTAAATCTTTTTTTTCTTTTTGCAGAGAAAGGGTCTTGCTGTGTTGTTCAGGGTGATCTTGAACTCCTGACCTCAACTGCTACTCCTGCTTCAGCTTCCCAAAATTCTGGGATTATAGACATGAGCCACTCTGACCAGACCAAATTTCTTTTATTTAAGCCACCAGTCTGTGGTATATTGTTATAAAATATCAGGCAGAATAATACTGTTTTTAAAACCATCAAGTCAATTTTTCATTTCAGTTATTGTACTTTTCAGTTCCAGAATGACTGTTTCATACCTTTATATAATGTCTCTTTGTTGAGATTCTCATTTTGTTTCTACATAGTTTTCCTGATCTTCTTTAGTTCTTTGTCCATGGTTTCCTTTAATACACTGAGCATATTTAACACAGTTAATTTAGTGTTTTTTATCAGTTATTGCAGCATCTGGGCTTCCTCATGTATGGTTTCTGTCAGTTTGTCCTGTATGAGCTATAATTTCCTGTTTCTTTGTTTATTTTGATTTTGTTCTGAGAAATGAACATTCTGTGTATTTTGCCGTAAAAATTTGGGAAATATAATTATCACAATCTTGAGGAATTACCAGTTTTTGTTTGTTGAATGCTGGAGTGGTCCATTTGTGACTTTTCTAAACTGTTTTTGAAAGAACATATTCCTTGTTTTGTAAGGTCACCAAATTTTCTGACCTATTATCCCTAGTGACGTCACAATGATATCCTTAATATCTAACTTATAAAAGGGCAATTAATTTACTGTCTCTGCAGCTCCAGTTATATGCTTCAGGTAGCAACTACCACAGCCAAGATGGCCCAAACCAAGGAAAAGGTCGGCAGTGATCCATCAGACAGGCAAAAGCATGCAACCATAAATGTGTGAGGGAAAGATCTCTACCCAACCTACCGCCCCCACTACCAGCCTCCATAAATGCAGACCATTTTCACTGCGTGTGCCTGAGATTATGTGCCTGAGTTTGCATATACTGTGCTCCTCTGAACTGCTATAGCCTTTTTCTTTATCAGCACTTCCTTGGTTTCTATCATGTCTCATCAGGATGCACTTTGGAAATAAGTGATTGGACGTTTTTCAGTTCACTGGTAGTTTTAGTACAGGGACCCATCCCTAGAGTTTCCTGCTCCACCATCCTTTGTGATGTCACTTCCTGGTTTCAGTACTGCTTGGTTTTGTCCTACCTCCATTTGGACTATATTCTTGATGACTAGAGGTGATAGGGCCATACTTATAGTCCCAGAATAATTTTTCCCTGTAGAAACATCCCTGACGTGAGTAGTTATAACTGAAAATATTGACATTCAAGCTAAAACTGTATCAAGATCTGGCATAATACTCTCCTTTGTTTTCAGTGTAGCTAATTATCTATAACTATAATCAAGATAGTCTATATTTAGCTTGTTTCCTGTCATTTTATATTTCCTTATATATCCACCGGGCAAAGTCTTTGGAGGCTTGTTCTGTCATTTCTAAATTCCATAGGTCACTTTGACCTGTAATAACTGATCACACTGCACATGCTGATATGACTGATGAAGTAGCTATTCGGGAATGAAAGTTTTGTCAACTTCTACCCCCTTAACCTTTACTTTTTCCCAATAAGTTTTCACCACATTTCAGAGAGTCAGGGTCATTCTAGTGAACAACACTTCTGAAGCATTCTGTGTCAGAAGTCCCCAAGACTACCCTCAGCTCAGTGGTTTGCTATAAGAGTCACAGAATTTAGAAATTCTGTTATATCCACTGTTGTGGATTATTACAGTGAAAAGATACAGATGAAAGTCAGTAAAGGTAAATGATGTATGGGACAGAGTCCAGGAGAGACACAGCACAGAATTTGCAGTGGGGTCATACAGACATTGCTTAATTCTCCAACAACAATGTGAGACACTGCTGGGCTGTCTATATTTGTTCTAAGATCTCTCCTAATGTGAGTAGCATTTTCCCAGGAGAACTTGTTGAAAGTAATCAGAACCATTGTTGAAAATCAAAGCTACCTGAGACAGTGAATAACACTTGGGGCACACACAACATACACAAGCCAAAAGCTTTAAAGACCCTGGGCATGAGGTGTCCACAGGGGCATTAACCAGCTCTGATCCATTTCTGGGATCCTAGCAGGCCATGCCCCTGAGTAGGCTGAGTGCAGCTATGTGCATGATCAGGAAAACCTGGAGGGCCTGAACTCTCCCCTCTGACTGACCTGAGGTCCTGTGCAAACAGGACCTGAAAGCTAAGGTAACGTTTTCACTGCCTGGCTGAGTGCTGAAGGGATGCCCCAACACACACACAGAAACTGGGAAAAAACTGGGAGATTTACGGTTCCAGGCATCTGTGGAGATCTCTGGCCAGTCATGTGCTGACTCCTAAGCTGAATAAAGAGTTAATTGGCCACATTTAACTAAGAATGGAGATGTTACAGAATTCTGTGTCTTCTGTGTATGTCTCTGTACATGTGAATATTGTCTAAATTTGGATGGTTTTGTGGGTGTGTGAACATGTCTGTACATTTGTGAGCATGTGAGAAGTGTTGGGGAATGTACGAGACTTATGTGTGTGATCAGCTGTGTCTGTGTCTGAATGTGTCAAGTGTGCATTCAGTTTGAATGAAGACTTGTCCCATGTTCCCTTAGATCATCATGACCTTCCTAAGGCCCCAGACAAGTGCAGATAACAAACAACGGAGGTGAAGTCCACTCAGAACAGGCAGGTGAGATGAGGGAAGGGCAAGGAGCTGTCCTGGGAGAGAGGTGTAGCTACATTAGAAAGTATGGACCTAGTGGGGAGCTGTGTGGGAGGGTCATGTCAGACCATGGTGATCCCAGAAACTTGTACAGAGCTGAGAGGTTGAAGGTGGGAAGAGAGGGTGACATCTGCTTGGCCCCTCCACCGCCATACCCTGGATAAACATCCTGAGCAGGAAGCAGGGACAAGGAACTCTGGAGCCGTCCCACCCCAGCCCTACTCTGGCCCTGCACCCTCTGGCAGCACAGTCAACACTTTAGGTTGGCTCACAGCAGAGGACAAAGGCCACTGTCAGCTCCCTTATAAGGAAACAGCCCAGGCTAGTCAGTCACTGAGGATGTGGTGTTTTCCTGCCTGGTCTTCTATACCTGTGGGGGTGGGGTGTGCCGTGTTCCCCAAAGAGCCCTGTGTATAGCAGGGCAGCCATGGCATTGCTGACCGGGGATACACTGGCGCCCCTGGCTGTGGCTGTGGCCATCTTCCTGCTCCTGGTGGACCTGATGCACAGGCGTCAACGCTGGGCTGCACGCTACCCACCAGGCCCCGTGTCTGTGCCGGGGCTGGGAAACCTGCTGCAGGTGGACTACCGGAACTTACCATATTGCATGAACCAGGTGAGGGAGGTGGTGGTGGAGGCAGCAGAGGTCCTGGGAATATTCTACCCCTCTCCCCCAAAAAAGCAACAGATGTAGGTTGTAGGTAAAGCCACAGGCTGGACTAGGAACTGGGCCTGGAAGAGGAAGCAGGATTCAGAAGCTCCCTGAGGGAGGACATTTGTGCAGGGCCTGAAGGACAGTTTGGATTTTCCGAAGTTAAGGTCTAGGAGGGTAAAGGCCTGGATGTGGGATAGAACTTGGCACTGGCCCTGCAAGCCAGTTGTGCAGCATTTAATTATGGGACCCCTTGTTCCTTATCAGAAGGAAAGGGCTTGGGAGTGGATAAGAGGTCGGTCCTGAGCACCTTTTAAATCAGGAAATGGAAGTTGAGGTGCAGTGACCTGGTTCAAATCTTTTGCTTTTGTGAGTCCTTGGGTCTCATACTCACTTCAGTGAACCTGTTTCCTCATCTGTAAAATGGGATGCTCCCTGGGACATACTGATCATTTCAGTGATTCAAGGTCATAGCTGAGTAGTGGATCCAAACTAAATTCCTCAACCACAGAGAAAATCACCCCCACCTGAGGATCACGAGGCCTCTTCCTGGCACAGGCTCATGACTGGCAGCCTTGGGGTCCCTCGGGATTGCGGGACAGGTCTAGGACTAGCAGCCTGGTGGAAACCCCGGCGTGAATGACACCCTGACCCTCTGCCTCCAGCTGCGGCGCCGCTTCGGGGACGTGTTTAGTCTGCAGCTGGGCTGGACGCCGGTGGTCGTGCTCAACGGGCTGGCAGCCTTGCGCGAGGCGTTGGTGACCCGCGGCGAGGACACTGCAGACCGCGTACCTGCGCCCTTCTTTGATCACTTGGGCTTCGGGCCGCGCTCCCAAGGCAAGCGGCGGTGGGGGCGGAGACCGCGTCCCAGCGGGACCTGAATGGGCAGTGACCGGAGACGGGACAGGGCCTAACGGGAGCAGAGACATGACGTAGGAGGCAAGAAGAGAAACGGGGAGGACGGTGGGCGACGGGAGGAGAAAGGAGCCTGCGGGTAGGGCGAGGGGAAAGAGTGTAGGCGGGGCCGAGGGCGGGGCCTGGACTTGAAGTGGGCGGGAAACCGAGGGGTCCGGGTAGGGCCTGTACTCAGAAAAGGAGGGGATCACATGGGCAGGGACTAAGGCAGGAACTGTTCTCAGAGGGGGAATGGACAGTTGAGGACAGAGGGCAGTCTGATCTCAGAGGAGAGGGGAACACTCTTGAAGAGACTGTGCTCGGGTCTGCAAAGAGGAGGGGACACAGGGTTGGATGCAGAAGGCGGACCAGAGCCTCTCTGGCGATGCCCACGTAGCCGTTCCTTCCCCAGGAATTTTCATGGCACGGTACGGTCCTGTGTGGCGCGAGCAGCGGCGCTTCGCCTTGTCCACCCTGCGCAACTTCGGCCTGGGCAAGAAGTCGCTAGAGCAGTCGGTTACCGAGGAGGCCGCCTGCCTCTGTGCAGCCTTCGCTGATCACGCCGGTGGGTGATGCGCAGAGGGGCACGAGCCGAGAACAGGGGAGGCGGGGGCTCGGAAAGAAGACCCCCTGACCCACGTCCCCTGCTCCCAGGCCGCCCCTTTAGCCCAAACGCCCTCCTGAACAGAGCGGTGAGCAACGTGATCGCCTCCCTCACCATCGGGCGCCGCTTCGAGTACAACGACCCACTCCTGCTCAGGCTCGTGGACCTAGTTGAGACCCATCTGAAGGAGGAGAGCAGCATCGTGTCCATGGTGGGGGATTGGAGAGACAGGCGGAAGTCCCGACAGGGAAAGCTCCAAGGAGGTGTAGAGGCCTGCACCTGGGTCTCCAGGAAGAGCAGTTGCATGCACAGGGTTTGGGGAAAGGACATTCCAGGAGAGACCACTGCAAGAGGAAAGATCTGGAGGAGGGAAATCTCCAACAGGAATGGGAGAGGTGGTCCCCAAGAGTGGGCCAGGGAGCCTGTGCCTTCTGTCCTTGCTGGATACCACCCAAGCCCAGGATTCCATTTTAAATTTCTTCTTTAGACTCCAGAGACCAGCAGAGAGCCTGAAGGCTGGCATTTGGGGAGTGAGGAAGTCAGTGTAGGCCCAGGAGGTGGCTGGGGCCTGTGACTGGTCCAGGTGAGCCCAGAGCATGGGAGAGACCCAGCTCCCCTTCTGTGACCTGCGCAGGTGCTAGGTTTTGTCCTGATGCTCCTGCGCATCCCAGGGCTGGCTGGCAAATTCTTACACGGAAGAAGGGACTTCCTGGCCCAACTGGATGAGCTGGTGACTGAGCACAGAATGACGCGGGATCCGGTCCAGCCACCCCGAGACCTGATAGATGCCTTCCTGGATGAGATGGACAAGGTGCAGGGCCTCTAGTACGGACTAGGCCAGAGTGGTGGGTTGAGGGTGCCATGAGGAGTGAGAAGAAGGGGCAAAGTGTGGCCAGTGCATCTGTGAGGCACATCTGTGCTGACAGGTACAGAATGGGAGGTCATCTGGGGGCTTTTTCCCTCTGTCCTGAGCCCACCCTCTCTACCCGGCTCAGGCCAAGGGGAACCCCGAGAGCAGCTTCAATGCTGAGAACCTGCGCCTGGTGGTATTTGATCTGTTCGCTGCTGGGATGGTGACCACCTCCATCACGATGTCCTGGGCCCTCCTGCTCATGATTCTGCACCCGGATGTGCAGCGTGAGTTCAGCTGGTGGTCTGTGGGAGGTTGAGCAAGGAAAGTTACAAGCAGGGGCCCCTGTGCTTAGTTAGGACACTTATGGCTCCAAGCACAGATTTGTCCAGTCTCCTGAAAAAGGTGCCTCCTCCTCAGGTGGGCACAGCCCCCACCCAACACAGGAGCCAGGAGGGGGTCAATGCCCATCCCCTGGATTCTCACCCACTGTGGGGATGCTTGCCTGTCCAGGCCGTGTCCAACAGGAGATCGACGAAGTGATAGGGCAGGCGCGGCCACCAGAGATGGCTGATCAGGCCCGCATGCCCTTCACCACCGCCGTGGTTCACGAGGTGCAGCGCTTTGGGGACATCATCCCCCTAGGAGTGCCCCACATGACCACTTGTGACACTGAAGTGCAGGGTTTCCGCATCCCCAAGGTAGGCCTGGGGACCTCCTCACCTGAACTCAGCATGTGCCTGCTGGTGATCCCAGCATGGTCACTGACAATTGGGGTCAACAGGCCCAGGCCACCCAGTCCTCAATTCCACTGGCACAGACTGCCCCAGCCTGAGTGTGGGATGTAGAGTGGGAGCGGGACCAGCCTGTCTATGCAGAACCCCGGACTAGTGGGAAAGACAAACCAGGACCTTCCATAAAGTGTTAGAGAAGCCAGCACCTGCAGGGATGGGGGCAGTGAGGGGCCCCTAAGAGGTATGTCTTTTGCCTTGCCGTGGGCTCTGATGCCAAGAGTTTTTTGAGGCAAAGGTTACTTGAAAGGTTCCAGTTATATGCCAGGCAGAGTGTATACCCACCCTCACCACCCCCCCACCCCCTACCCCCGGGTCTGTTGACAAGAGTTCTGGCAGCCTAGAGCCCAGTCCACACTGACACCAGGCTTCTCCTGCCCAGGGCACAATCCTCTGCACCAATCTGTCATCAGTGCTGAAGGATGAGGCCATCTGGAAGAAGCCCTTTAACTTCTACCCGGAACACTTCCTGGACACCCAGGGCCGCTTCGTGAAGCAAGAGGCCTTCATACCTTTCTCAGCAGGTGCCTGTGGGAATCTAGCTCTCCACTCCCTTCTGGGAAAGACTCCCAGGGCTCAGGTTCATTGACTCTCTCACCCACCCATAGGCCGGCGCGTATGCCTTGGAGAGTCCTTGGTCCGCATGGAGCTCTTCCTCCTCTTCACCTGCCTCCTGCAGCACTTCAGCTTCTCCGTGCCTGCTGGACAGCCCCGGCCCAGTGACCAAGGTGTCTTTCACATAATGGTGGCCCCATCCCCCTACCAGCTATGTGCTGTGCCCCGATAGAGATGCCATAGCCCCCAATCTGCTCCTCAACTGTAGCCCTGCTGTTCAATAAACCAGTCTAGTAGCTCCTGCTTGGTTTCTCAGTCCAACCTGGAACCGTTGACAAGGCCCTGGCTCTTGTGGGTCTTCATCACTTGCCTGAAGTCAGCCCTCAGCCTCTGCCTCATCCATTCTTCCCAGGCCATGTGACTTTACTTGAGATGTCAGTATACTCATGCTCAAAGGTGACAACTAGGCCAGGGTGGCTCACTCATAATCCCAGCAATTTTGGAGGTCAAAGCTGGAGAACTGTTTGAGCCCAGGAATTTGAAACCAGCCTAGGCAGCATAGCAAGACCTAATCTCTACAAAATAAGAAAGCATTTTTTTAATTAACTGGACATGGTAGCACACACCCACACTTGTAGGCCCAGCTACTCAGGAAGCTGAGGCTGAAGAATTGCTTGAGCCCAGGAGGGCTGTGGTGAGCCATGATCATGCCATTGCACTCCAGCCTGGGTGACAGTGAGACCACAACTCAACAAAAAAGAAAGGTGACATTTTAAACCTAAGTCATTCCAGAGACCCATCAATGGCTTCCTGGGATGGTGTCAATGTCCCTGCGAGAGTCTTGACTCCTGGGGTGGATGGCAACATGCTTCTGCTAGGAATCACCTCAGTCCCTGGAAGAGGCGAGGACTGTGTTGGGTTCCCTAAGACCACCCTCAGGGTCAGTGATTTGCTAGAATGCCTTATAGACCTAAAAGAGCTGTTATGCTTACTGTTGTGGTTTATCACAGTGAAGGCTACAGATGAAAGGCACTGGTAAAGGTACAGGTAAAGGGCACATGGGACAGAGTCCAGAAGGACCAATGCAGAAGCTTCCAGTTGCCCTCTGCCAATGGATTCATACAGAGAGCAACAATGTGTGTGCAACAATACACAGCAGAGGGTATTGCTAAGAAGGAGCTCAGCCCAGCCTTGTTGTCCTGGGTTTTTGTTAGGGTTGGTCACCTAGGCTTGAGCACCTACATGCTTGGCCTCAGTTACTCATCTCCAGCCCCTCCTGAAGTCAGACATACAGTCCAAGGCCCCCACCGTCAGTCACATCATTTGTATTAACTATGTGGTGTGGCCAATGGCCCAGGTATATGCAAAGACACTACTATGAGGCTGGGTATTCCAAGGACTTATGGGATGTCACCCAGTCACCTATCAAGAGTTAATTGGTTTGAATTGTGTAGGGACTGAACTCCCCAGGCCTGTGGAGGTCACTTTCTACTGTACAGGTTATTCCCCTTGGCTCTTCCAGCAAAATTATTATTATTGGTTTGAACATTTATACTTTTTTTTATGTGGTACAACACATGACATAAAATTACCATCTTAAAACTGTTGTCAAATAAGTATACAATAGCATTTTTAAGTATACCCTTCGGTATCGTTTACATTAATAATGTTGTGGAACTATCACCACCATCCAACCACCAAACTCTCTTTATCTGGCAGACCTGAAATTCTATACCCATTAGACAAGCACTCTCCAGTGTCTGGACCACCACTCTATTGCCTGTTTCTATGAATTTCCCTCCTATAGGAAGTCATGCAAATAGAATCATACACTGTTTGTCTTTTTATGGTCATCTTATTTCACTTGGCATAATACCCTCAAGATTCATTTATGTTGTAGAAGATATCAGTATTTCCTTTCTTTTTCAGACTGAATAATGTCCATTGTATGGTTATGCCATGTTTTGTTCATTCTAACAATGTACACATAGATTGCTTCCACGTTTTGGACAGAGTGAATAATGCTGCTGTGATCATGGTGCATAAATATCTCTTTGGCACCCTTTTTTCAGTTCTTGTGGATATATACAGGCATCCTCAGAGATATTTCATGTTTAGGTACAGACAACCTCAAAAAAGCAAATATTGCCATAAAGCAAGTCACACAAATTTGTTTGTTTCCCAGTACCTATAAAAGTCGTGTCTACATGAAACTGTAGTCAAGTAACTCTACAATAGTATTATTTCTAAAAACAATATATAATTTTAAAATACTTACATTTCTTTAAAAATGCTGACTATCATCTAAGCCCTCAGCAAGTCTTAATCTTTTGGGGGATGAACAGTCTTGCCTCAAGTTGGTGACAGACCTTGATTCCACAGAGTGGTGGTTGCTAGAACTTGAGGTGGCTGTGGCAATTTCTTCAAATAAGACAGCAATGAAGTTGTCCACCTTGATGGTCTCTTCTTTTTATGAACAATTTCTCTATAGCCTGCAATGATGTTTGATAGTATTTTGTTCACAAAACTTCTTTCAAATTTATAGTCAGTCTTTCTCAAACCCAGCTGTTGCTTTATCAACAATAAGTTTCTGTCATATTCTAAATTCTGTTTTTACTTCAACAGTGTTCCTTGTCTCGTCACCAAAAGTAGATTCCATCTCAAGAAACCACTTTTTTCCTCATTAATAAGCATCTCCTCTCTGCTCAAGTTTTCTCAAGAGATTGCAGCAATCCAGTCACATCTTCAGACTTCACTTCTAATTCTAATTTCTTGCTGTTTCCACCATAATTGTAATTACTTCCTTCTCTGAAATTTTGAACCCCTCCGTGTCATCCAAAAGGGTTGGAATCAACTTCTTGCAAATGCCTGTTTATGTTGATATTTTGACTTCTTCCAATGAATTATGAATGTTCTTTTTTTTTTTTGAGTTGGAGTCTCACTCTGGTAACTTGAATGGTGAATCATTTCAGAAGGTTTTCCATGTTTTTTGCCCAGATCCATCAGACACACCACCATGGCCGTGATCGCCTTATAAAATGTACTACTTAAATAATAAGACTTAAGAGGTAAAATTATTCCTTGACTCATGGGCTACAGAATAGATGTGTTAGCAGGCATGAAAACAACATATCCCCTTGTAGAGATGAGCAGGTGCATTGTCAATGAGCAGGAATATGTTGAAAGCCATCTTTTTTTCTCAGCAATAGATCTTTATAGTGGATGTAAATTATTCATTAAACAATGCTGTAAACAGATGGTCAACAAGGCTTTTTTATTCTACTTATAGAGCACAGGCAGAGTAGATATGACATAATTTTAAGAGCCCTGGGATTATAGGAACAGACAATGATCACTAGCTTCAATGTAAAGTCACCAGCTGCATTAGGCCCTAACAACAGAGTTGGCCTGTCCTTTGATAGGCTCAAGTTATGAAAACAGGCATTGACTTCTCTCTAACTATGGAAATCTTACATGGGGTCTTCCAACAGAAGGCTGTTTCTTATTCATTGAAAATCTGTTGTTTATTGTAGCCACCGTCATCAATGATCTCAGTGAGATTTTCTGGACAACTTGCTGCAGCTTCTTCAGCAGCACTTGCTGCTTCACTTTTAATTTTTATGCTATGAAGATGGCTTCTTTTCTTAAACTTCATGAATCAACATCTGCTTACTTCCAACTTTTCTTCTAAAGCTTCCTCACCTCTCTCAATCTTCAAATAATTCAAGAGAGGTAGGGCCTTGCTCTGGGTTAGGTTTTGGCATAAGGGAAGGTGGTGGTTCCCTTGTGTTCCGACCACTAAAACTTTGTCCATAATAGCAATAAGATTGTTTCACTTTCTTATTATTCATATATTCACTGGAGAAGTTACTAATCTCCTTCAAGAACTTTTTCTTGTTTTCACAACTTGGCTAACTGGAGCAGGAGGCCTAGATTTCAGCCTATCTTGGCTTTCGGCATGCTTACTCTCTAAGCTTAAACATTTTTAGCTTTTGATTTAATGTAAGAAGGCTATACCTATACTCCCAACCCTTCAGCAGGCCAAGGCAAGGGCATCTCTTGAGTCTAGGAATTTAAGGGTAGAGTGATCTATGAAGGTGCCACTGCACTCCCGCTTGAGTGACAGTAAGAAACTTTGTTTCTAAAAGAAAACAATGAAAGAGAAATGTGCAGATCTTCCTTTGACTTGAACACATAGGTGCCATGGTAGGATTATTAATTGGTCTAACTTCAGTATTGGTGTGTCTCAGGGAACAGTGAAGCCAGAGAAGGAAACCAGGAACAGACTGAACAGTCTGAACAAACCCAACATTTACAGATTAAATCCACTCTATTGGCTGGGCCCATTGGGTTACTACTGTAATTCCAGCACTTTGTGAGGCAGAGGCAAGAGGCTTGCCTAAGCCCAGGGGTTCAGGCCCAACCTGGGCAACTTGGTGAGACCTCTTCTCTGCAAAAGAAAGAAAGGAAGGGGGGGGGCAGGGAAGGGAAGTGGAAAATTAACCAGCATAGTGGTATGTGCCTGTGTTTCCAGCTACTTGGAAGATTAAGGCAGTAGGATCGCCTGAGTCCAGCAGCAGAGGCTGCGGTGGTCATGAGCATGCAGCTGCACTGCAGCCTGGGCGACAGAGTGAGACTCCAACTCAAGAATAAAAATAAAATAAGTTCACTGTTTTATGTGAACATGGTTAGCGTCACCCCAAAACAATGACAAGAGTAACATCAAAGATCACAGATCACAGATCACCATAAAAGAAACTATAATAATGAGAAACTTTGAAATATTGAGAAAATTAGAAAAGTGTGATTAGCAGTGAGCACTTGATGCAGAAAAAATGACCCTAACAGACTAGTCAACCTAAGGTTGTCACAAACCTGCAATTTGTAAAAGAGACATTATCTGTTAAACACAATAAAGTGAAGCACAATGAAATTACCTATGCCTGTGCTCAGAAGCAGGATTGATGGATTATATGGTAACTCTGTTTAAACCACCATACATACTCAATATCCTTGCCAATGCTTATTTCCTATTGTGATTTTTTTAAACAGTAGCCACCCAATGCGTGTGATTGGGTAGCTCATTGTGGTTTTGATTTGCATTTCCCTACTGATGAGGGATGCCAAGCAGCTTTTCCTGTGCATCTTGGCCATTTTTATGTACATTTTCTTAGGAGAAATGTTTAGTCAAGTGTTTGCCTGTTTTCAGATCTAATGGTTTGGTTTTCCTTGTTCCCTGTATATCTAGGTATTAATCCCTTATCATTCTACGGGTCGCCTTTTTACTCTGTGGATAGTGACCT